TGTTGTTACTATTGGTGATAGACGATGCTCATGAAAAAAGTGATTACTTGTAAATACAAAGAGGAAAAGTCCCAGAATTACGTACAAGGACAAAGAAAAGCCAACCCTCAACAAGACAAGCTAATATTCCTTTATTACGAGTAAAGTAAAAGTAGAACTCACTTGCACTATGACCAAACAAACATTTCAAATCTTAAAACAACAACACAAGAAGGCACAATGGAGTGCCTTTTTTTCAATACATTATGATATGCATATGTTTATTCAAGTCCAAACTTGTGCCTAAGAGTCTTTACAAACTCAAGGACCTTATGTTGGTCAGGCAAAGACTTAGCCACACTGTCCCTCTGCATGCACCTCTTGGCCCAAGCCACAAACTTTGGGCACTCAGCTTCTGTGCTGAAGTTACCATAAGTCTCATAAGAATGAAACCAGCTGTAGAACCCAATCAGTGCAATATCAACAAAACCAAAGTTATCTCCTCCAAAGAAAGGCTTCTCTCCAAGTGCTCCCTCCAGCACTTTAAGGCATTCTATGAAATCTTTCTTAGCTGCCTCTTGCTCTTCTCCCTTTGTTGTCCATAGCTTCCTCCCAGAATCATAAAACTGAAAATTTCAACAAACACAGAAAAAGAAAATGGTTATCAATTGTTAATAAATCCTAAAAAGAAAAGGGGAAAGGACTATGAATTTACCTTCTTGTCAATGTAATCAGCCCAGAACCTAGCTTGTGCTCTGTCATAAGGATCAGAAGGGAGCAAAGGGGCTTTATCCTTCCAAACTTCTTCAATATACTCAACTCCAATAATAGACTCACAAATGGGTTTTCCATTATGAATCAAAACAGGGATTTTCTTGTGGATAGGATTCATCTGCAAAAGCAGAGGACTTTTGTTCCTCAAATCCTCTTCTTTGTACTCATATTTTATCTCTTTTTCAGCAAGTGCAATCCTTAGCCTCATACCAAACATGCTAGGCCAAGAATCCAACAGAATCAACTCATCATTAACCATTTTTGTTGTATGAACAAGTAATCAAAGTGTAGAAAAAAGAAAGAAGAATTTCTCAAAATTGGTTACCTATGGAGCACATACATATACGTAGTATATATAGTGGTCCATTGGATTTTTGCAAGTTATTTTTTTTCATTTATATGTTGAAGTCTATAATATTCGAGACTTTTCTGGGCGGCCTAAGATTTATAGGTCATCACTTTCGTCACGTGGTCTCTTACCAAAATTATATTTATTTGGTATAGCATTAATTATGATAGGTTTTATTTCTGAAGAAAATGCGATTAATAATAGTTTTTTCTTAAATTTAAACTCATATTTAAAATATTTAATTAAAAGTGGATAATAATATTTTTTATATGAAAATTCAAATTTGAAATATCTGATTACAAATGGATAGATAGTAAGTTCAAAAAATAGAGGCTCCTATACGTTCTTGTGTTCCTTTTTTTTCTATTCGAAATCGCCAATTTAATATTCCATTTATTCTCTGTTCCTCTTTTATCTTGGAAATACTCTCCAAATTTAATGCTTTATTTATTCCAATTTATTTGTTACTATAAATTTTTAAGAGCAACTAGCAAACATAAAAATCATATTTGTATATTATAACTATAGTTTGCATTGTTGCGCTTCATATCAAATTTTATGTTTGTTATGGAACTTTTGATTTGTATAATTCGCTACAAACATTCAATTTCATATAAATTGTTCACTTTTGTATAAATTCATTTATACATTGTAATTTGTATAAAAAGATCTGTATTTGTATAATTATAAGTGTATAAGACGAAAATATATGTATTTGTATTTATATATACATTTTTTCCCCGCTTTGTACAAACACAAACACATTTTATATCGAAATGTATAAAATGACTAATTGTATACCGAATCAAATGGCAAAAAAAGGGATGTTTGCTGCGAATTACAATTAAAATAAACTATGGCTATAATATTTAATTTGAATTAATAGTTTGCTATTTTATACAATTTTCCCAATTTTTAATACCGTTAGAAAAACATTTTTTTAGCATTTTATAATAATATAATATGCTTACTATTAAATATTTTTTATCTCAATTTATATAATATCATTTATATTTTAAGAATCAAATAAAAAATTGTCTGATTTTAATCGTATGTCCTTAAAATATTTTAAATTGTTAAAAAAAAAAAAAGGGGAAAGAAGAATTAGTACTATATAGTATGGCCAAATGCCATCTATTTTCAAGCGTTTCAACAATTCGAAATATCAAGATTCTTCTCAACATGAGACAGACCTCCATAAATATACAAAACTTGCAATGACGTCCACACGATTTCTCACTATGGAGACTATTAACCATACTTTTGAATTTCCAAATTTATCGAGTACGTGGAAAGGAGATGTAACTGAATTCCCATAGTAGAAAAAATATATTATACTCCATCCGTCCACTTCTAATTGTCATAGTTTTCTTTTTTAGAGTTAAACTATAAGAACTTTGACTAACATTTTACGATATATATATTTCATCATATTGATATGCAAGAAATTGCAATTTAAAGTACTTTTCGTATAGTTTTTGAATATTTAATTTTTTATTTAAAATGTCGAATTAATGTAATTTAATTTAATTTTAAAAATTAGTCAAATTGACTTTTGAAAAACGCAACATGACAAATAAAAATGGTCGGAGGTAGTACCACAACATTTGATAGCGATGGGGTCATGTTTTATTGTTTGTTTTTTAAAAGAAAATAATCAAAATATCAATAAATAAATATACTAAGAGTTCAAGAAGATTCAATATTTGATTTTAGATATATATAAAATATAATTTTGGATCATATATAATGTAATTTTTAACAAACAAGATTCAAATTATCTCCTTACATCTTCTAGCTCGGCTCATACACGAAAATAGAACAAAAATAATTTTTTGAGTTATATATAAATTGTAAAAAAGTTACTACTAGTTTCACCTGTACAAATAATGAAAATCTTAACTACTAAAAAACCACATAAAACGAAGAATAAAACTTATAACATATAATATAGCAATACAAATATTTACAAATTACTTTAGATTACACGTTCATATCAATATCTTTGAGTTGTACAAAGAAACAATGTGTATATTCCTTAAGGTTTATTATTTTACTTAAAAAAAATATCAAAGTCCCTTTCACAAGCTTTTAATTAAAACGGAAAAATGGTAGGGGTTTGAAATGTATGCCAACTACACTGTCAAGCTAGACTTTTTATTTATTTTTAAACCGATAACCATTAAGACAATTGTAATTTACTACTATACTCTTCATAAATATTAAATATTAATCATTTAACATTACTAGACACTATATAAGTATTCTACACTACGGTCTACACACTTCACACGTCATAGTACTTCTACTACATCTGCTCCCTATTTACTTGTCCAATTTTTACATGACACGCCTATTAACAAAATAATAAATGACATAGTGAATTTACCATTTTACCCCTATTAATTGATATAATTCCAAAATCAATTTACTTATTGAAGAGATTCTAACTTTTTTTAAAAACATTAACTCTCCAAATAAATTGAGGTTAAAATAGGTAAAAAAAAAATATTATTTTTTCTTATTTATAAAAATAACAAGCAAAAAGATAAAAATCAAAAAATCAAAATTGAACAAGTAAAAAGGGACAGATGATGCTCATGAAAAATATAATTACTTCTCATCACAAAAGCCAACATTCAACAAGACACAAGCTTGTCCTTTACAAGTTACAAGTACAATATAACTAACACTATGATCAAACAAACATTTCAAATCTTGAAACAACAACTTAAGAAAAGGCACAATGAAGTGCTTTTTTTCAATACATTATGATATGCATATGTTTATTCAACTCCAAGCTTCTGCCTTAGCATTTTTATAAACTCAAGGATCTTATGTTGGTCAGGCAAAGTTTTAGCCACACTGTCCCTCTGCATGCACCTCTTGCCCCAAGCCACAAGCTTTGGGAACTCAGCCTCTATGCTGAAGTTACCATAAATCTCATAAGCATGAAACCGGCAGTAGAACCCAATCAAAGCAATATCCCCAAAACCAAAGTTATCTCCTCCATAATAAGGCTTCTCTCCAAGTGCTCCCTCCAACACTCTAAGGATTTCTATGAAATCCTTCTTACCTGCCTCCTGTTCGTCTCCCGTTGTTGTATAAATCTTCCTTGATGTATCATACAACTAAAATTTCAACAAACACAAAAAAAGAAAACGGTTAACACTTATATTTCAACAAACACAGACAGCATTCTATTTCTTCAACTAATGTGAAACTCTAAAGGGTCATTTCTTCAGCTAATTTAACCTCTAACACCCCAGGCCTACGACTTAGCATCTAAAGCGCGGAGAGGGTGGGGGGGGGGGGTCTAGTTTGTGAAGTGATGATTAACTAAAACTATATAATGAGACAATTTGGCTCTCTAACACCCTCTTCGTGTCAAGGCCCAACTGGAGTTTGGGACAGAAATACAAGTAGGGATGGATCCAAAAGCTAGCTCATAAGGAAAGAATTGTCCAAATTCATATAAATAGACTGCCAGCTCATTCTCCAATTAATGTGCGGCTCGATCAACTTCAAAAGTTAGCTCATAAGAAGAGAATTATCTATGTCCATATAAGTAAACAACTAATCTATTCCAACCGATGTGGGACTCTAACCCAGTCTAACAACACAACACAAACAATGCTTCAATCCCAAATTAGTTTAGATTGGATAATAAATACCAAAAAAAAGGGGGGAAAGGGCTATGAATTTACCTTCTTATCAATGTAGTCACCCCAGAACCTAGCTTGTGCCCTCTCATAAGGATCAGAAGGGAGCAAAGGAGCTTTATCCTTCCACACTTCCTCAATATACTCAACTCCAATAAGTGACTCACAGATTGGTTTCCCATTGTGAATCAAAACAGGGATTTTCTTGTGGATAGGGTTCATCTGCAAAAGCAGAGGACTTTTGTTCCACAAATCCTCTTCTTTGTACTCATATTTAATCTCTTTTTCAGCAAGTGCAATCCTTAGCCTCATACCAAACATGCTAGGCCAAGAATCCAACAGAATAACCTCATCATTAGCCATTTTATTTTGTATGAATTAACAAGTTCAGAAGAATTAAGAAAAAAAAAATCTCAAAATTGCTAAAGTATTGATTTGTTTGTTGTACATACATACACGCAGTATATAGTGGTGTAGATGCCTTAATTTTTTCGATTTTTTTGTGTTCTAAATAGTCACGTGATCAATTGGTCTATAGCCTATAAGGTCATTGCTTTCGTCACATAGAGTTCAATTTATTTATCTTTTTGTGGTTCATTATTAATTCTTTAATCTTTATCTAGTGCCTCTTAATTTTAGAATAATTAATATTAAGGACAAAGTTAGAAAAAGATAATTAATTTTTTAAATTGGCAACTATTTTGAAAAAAAAATACGTTTACTATACCTGGTAATACGTATAATAATACAAGAATTCAGAAATTGGTTAAGATCACACGTTTAAATCAATTATCTTTGGAATGTACAGAGGTACAGTGTAGTATAGGGTGGACGGTGTCTGGAGTAATGGTGCAATAGCCAATATGCTGTCAAAGATTTTAGTTAAATATAAATTAAATAAAAAAGAGAGAGGAAAGATTAAAGATGACTGATATGGACTTCTTATGTTAGGGCTTACCTATTATCTTGGACTTTTTGGGCATTTTTCACTTTGAAATCATATTATAAAATACCCCTAGTTGTATGATTGATCCTTTTTATTCATATTCATGCATGGGAAACAATATTATTTTAAATTTATAGCTATTAAAATATAATTTTTTTTTTTAAAAAAATGATCTTGAATTTTGAATATGAGAGTAAGTTTTAAATTAAAGGTATGTTACTGGAAAAGTTTTAAAATGTTGGTAAATTAACATTATTGTAAAACAAGTTTGTTATATTTTTATTTTTGGGAGGTAAAATTAATTGAACATCTACAATTGAGACACACACATTTTACGTGCATGCGAAAAATCGAATGCACTTCAGTCATGTGCATCTTAAGTACATTACTATTGTAAAATGAGCTGGATATAAGTACTTATATTTCAAATTATAATGATTTGAAGTATATTTGTGCATTAAATCATGTGTTAAATTATTGAAATTCAACAAAAATAAGTTGTTGTTTCTAGTCGAAAGAAATAATCAATTAACCAACATTTACACTTGTGACATACATGCCTTAAGTACATGAATAAAAATTAATTGCACTTCAGTCATATATTGTGACTTTCCAACACCAGCCAAAATTTGTAAATTGATACACAGATTTTATTATTTCAATCACGTATGTCATAAGTTGTGTCCGAAGTGAATAAATTTATTTTAAAAATCAAGTATTTATGCAACATTTCCCTCAACAACTTGAATAAATAATGGCTCAGAAATGGCCTCATTCCATCTAATGGCTCAAAAATATCCTTTTTTCTATATTTGTCAAATATAATAAGTAAAAAATGATAAGTAAAAAGAGATTGTGTTAGATGATGCTAATGAAAAAAGTAATTACTTCTCATCACAAAAGCCAACACTCAACAAGACACAAGCTTGTCCTTTATTACAAGTAGAATAGAACCTACACTATGACCAAACAACATTTCAAATCAAGAAAAGGCACAATGAAGTGCCTTTTTTCAATACATTATGATATGCACATGTTTATTCAAGTCCAAGCTTTTCCCTAAGAATTTTTACAAACTCAAGGACCTTATGTTGGTCAGGCAAAGTTTTAGCCACACTGTCCCTCTTCATGCACCTCTTGGCCCAAGCCACAAGCTTTGGGCACTCAGCCTCAATGCTGAAGTTACCATAAACCTCATAAGCATGAAACCAGCAGTAGAACCCAATCAGAGCAATATCCCCAAAACCAAAGTTATCTCCTCCATAATAAGGCTTCTCTCCAAGTGCTCCCTCCAACACTTTAAGGATTTCTATGAAATCTTTCTTACCTGCCTCCTGTTCGTCTCCCGTTGTTGTATATATCTTCCTTGCTGTATCATACAACTGGAATTTCAACAAACACAGAAAAAGAAAACGGTTAACACTTGTTGCCACAAAACATGAATTTATACCGAGATAGTATTCTATTTCTTCAACTAATGTTAAACTCTAATATATACCCCTCGCGCCTAGGACTGAGCATCTGGAGTAGGGGGTCTTAGTTTACAAAGTGAGGAATAGGATTAACCAAGACTATATAACGAGACAATAATTCATTTCTTCAACCAATTTAACCTCTTACACCCCAGGCCTCCGAGTTAGCATCTTGAGTGCGGAAAGGAGTCTAGCCTGTGAAGTGATGATTAACTAAAACTATATAACGAGACAATTTGGGGCTCTAACACCCTCTTCACGTCAACGCCCAACTGGAGCTTGAGACAGAAGTGCAAATAGGGATGAATCTTACTCTAACACCATATAAATATATGACACTTGGACCTAAGTCAATCTTAAAAGCTAGCTCATAAGGAAAGCAATGTCTTGAATTCATATAAGACTACCAGCTCATTCTCCAACAAATGTATGACTCTAACCCACTTTTACATCCCTTCACGTACGGGTTCAACATGAGTTTAAATTAGAAGCACAAAAGGCAATGAATCTGACTCTGATATCATGTAAAGATATAACACATATGTCTAACTCAATCAACTTCAAAAGTTAGCTGAAGAGAATAATCTATATCTATATAAAAGTAAACAACTAATCTATTCCAATTAAGGTGGGACTCTACCCCACTCTAACATGAACTCTAACAACACAGCACAACACAACAATGCTTCAATCCCAAATTAGTTTAGATAGGCTAATAAATACCAAACAGAAAAAAGGGAAAGGGCTATGAATTTGCCTTCTTATCAATGTAATCAGCCCAAAACCTAGCTTGTGCCCTCTCATAAGGATCAGAAGGGAGCAAAGGGGCTTTATCCTTCCACACTTCCTCAATATACTCAACTCCAATAATAGACTCACAAATTGGTTTCCCATTATGAATCAAAACAGGGATTTTCTTGTGGATAGGATTCATCTGCAAAAGCAGAGGACTTTTGTTCCTCAAATCCTCTTCTTTGTACTCATATTTTATCTCTTTTTCAGCAAGTGCAATCCTTAGCCTCATACCAAATATACTAGGCCAAAAATCCAACAGAATCACCTCATCATTAGCCATTTTTGTTGTATGAACAAGTAAACAAGTGAAAAAAAAAGGAAGAATTTCTCAAAAATTGGTTATGATTTGTTTGTTGTACATACTTACACGTTGTATATATAGTGGTGTAAATTAGATGCCTTAATTTTTCGATTTTTTTGTGTTCTAAGTACTGACGTGATCCATTAGTCAATAGGTCATCGCATTCGTCACATAGAGTTCAATTTATTTATCTTTTGGTGGATCATTATTAATTCTTTAATTTTTATCCGGTGCCTCTTAATTTTAAAATAATTAATGTTAAGAATAACGTTAGAAAAATATAATTAATTTTCTCTGTTGATTATTTAAATTGACAACTATTTTTAAAAATATACTTTTACTATACATGATAATAGAATAATACAAAGATTCACAAATTGCTTAAGATCACACGTTTAGATCAATTTCTTTGGGATGTACAAAGTAGTATGTGGTGGACGTTGTCTGGACTAATGGTGCAATAGCCCATATGTGTATCTGCTTTAAAGGTTTATTATTTTTGGGGAATTTTTGCATAAAAAATAATTTAATTATACCTAATAATACGTATAATAATACAAGAATTCACAAATTGCTTAAGATCAGACGTTTAAATCAATTGTCTTTGGAATGTACAAAGGTACAGTGTAGTATGGGGTGGACGGTGTCTGGACTAATGGTGCAATAGCCAATATGTGTTATCTTATTTTAATATACACTTTAATCTATTTCGAATATATTAAAAAAAATTAGTCAAGATTATTGCTAAGTCACCTTTTATTTTTCTTCTAAAAGATTATCTGAAACATAAAAAAAAATTGTAATTTCAAAATTGAACAAAAACTTCACCTGCATTTTCATATTAAATAAAAAAGTAAAATAAACAAAAATAACTATAAGGATACAACAATAAAAGGCCTAAATCAAAATTTGCTAAATATATTATGTGTTCGACGAAATCATGATTTTACTATTATCATTGATCATGTTGGTTGCAGATATAGCTTATAAATTATCAATTTTCATATTATATTTTTTAGAGAGGATTAGTACTGTTCATTAATATTTTTTCTAAGGAAGAAATATGAATTCACATGATTTTTTTTTATCAGGCCTTGAGCCATTGGTAGAAAATTACGAATAGAAACATCATTTTGTTTTATGCTTCTTATTAGTAAATATTTCATTTATAAGAATTAGTCATCTTAATATTAGAAATTAAATATAAAAGTTGTGTTGAAAGAGAAATAATTTTGTTGCCGGAATAACTTCCTTAATCATAATTGAGCCAAAGCTATTCAGACATTCTTATTTGAAACACTACAAATACTCATAAAATTGACCAAAAATAAATTAACAGTTATGAAATTAGAATTTTTATCTTTCTTAATTAAGGTATTAATAGAAAATGATAATTTATTATTTTATACTTATTGCATTTTTTGTTATGATATTAACTCATTATAATATGGGAAAATGCAATGTTTTGAATTTTAAAGGACAATAAGTTATACATCCGCCCAACTACTTGCTCTAAAATCTCAAAAGAAAATCTAAAATTGTGAAACTCAATCACAAAATGTTTTGATGGTATCAAATGATACCAAATACATATGTAATAGACTAAAATCAAATCGATATAGATAAAAAAAATATTTTTTCTATCATATAGAGTATCAAATACTATGAATTTGTGACCAATTAAAACCATTTTATTATCCCCGTGTCCTAATAGAAAATTTTTATTTGTGACGTCCGGCTATATAAATCCCAAAAAAAAAAAGAAATTATTAGTTAAATTACGTATATGATGAATAAGTAAATTTTAATTAGAATGAAACTTTTAGAATAAGACCATACAATTTAGGAGAAATTAATAATAAGATAATATTGATTCAAACATAATCCTGAATGTTTTATTAATTGAGAGAGATCAAACTTACAATTTAATTAAAATTAGAAGCTAATACTTTTCAAGCTATAGCAAAATTTGCAGTGTAATAATTTGGCATGCAACTCAATAGTTCCATCACCACGATGTATTTGCATAAAGCTATAGCCGATTTTATTCGACACCTATGAAGTTGATCCTTTTTCTCATAGTCTTGGCTATAATGCCCGTTGTTGCAAATGTCAAATAGTAATGGGTGAGAAGCTGTGGAAATTTAAGTTTAGGAGAACTATAAGTTAATTTAAACGTTTTATTTTAGTGGGGAATATCAATAGATTATAAGTTTTTTTTATAACTGATGAAATGATGATATAATTAAATAATCAAAAAGACAATAGTAATGAGCCACCACCAGTACCTGTAATACCTTCATACTTGAACTCCTTAACCCCAAAAACTGTCAAACCTAAACACTCTATTCCCATAAAGGACAAAACTTACGTACATGGTGAACCAATAGTCTTGTGGGATGAAGAAGAAGTGGATAATATGATTATACAAGAAGATTTGGAATTTGTTATCATCGGAAAATTTTCTTACGGATGGCCCGAGTTAGAGGAAATACGAAAAATTGTGCCTCTTCAGTGCGAGATCAAGGCAAATGCAAAATAGTCTTTTTAAGAGATAGATATGTTTTAATTCGACTCACCACCATGGAGGATTACATACATGTAATGTCAAAACCTACATACTTTCTTCGCGCCAAGGATGGTTTCTATCAGATGAGGCCCCTTAAGTGGGAACCATGGTTTAGTCCAGAGGCAGAAACAACCACGGCACTGGCTTGGATCTCGTTTCCTGGTTTGTCCCCTAATTTCTTTGTTCAAGAGTCCTTATTTACTATGGCTAAGGCAGTTGGAAAGCCTCTACATGTGGATATGGCTACTAAAAAAAATCCAGACCAAGTTGTGCCAAGATCAAGGTGGAAGTTGATCTTTTGAGAGATTTTCCCAAACGAATTAATGTTGGAGTTAAGAAGGCTAGTTCGGGGGAAATCATATCAAAATGGATTAACATAAAATATGATTATATGCCAAAGTATTGCAAAACTTGCAAGCTTCAAGGGCATACATAGATGGAGTGTTTTGTTCTTCATCCAGAGTTGAAAGTATTGAATGATGAAGGAGAAAACAATGGGGATAGTGAACATCAGAATAAGGGATCGAAAATTCTAGCAAGTAGTAAGGGTGTAGGGACCCAAACTCAGAAGCAGAAAGTTAGGATTAATGAAGAAACAAAGATGATGGACTTTCAAAATAGAGGGACAGGAAGACAACAAAGAAATCCTAATCTACAAGTCTGGAACGTAACAAAGGATATGCGAGTTTTTAACTCAAACAAAGGGAAAAGACCTCAGCCAGAGAAGATAGCAGAGTAGATCCCAATGGTAAATTCTTTTGCTGCACTAGATAACAAAGAGAAGGAACAAGTGGAGAAGGATCCTAAGAAAGCACATGATAGTTCTTGTTAATCTTGGGTTGAATCATCATTTGGAAAACAAAAATTCCCAGCTCCAAAGGACACAATAACATATGATGTTGAAGATGCTGAAAATTCTGGGCAGCATGTTTTGTAAGTGGAAAACGAGAATCCAACTAAGAACTGGACACTGGTTGCACACAAAAAATTAACTAGTAGTCGAAGTCTTTTCCCTACTAGTCAAAATAATTCACCATGTAGTGAAAAGGGTCCAACTGAGAATTTTCATGACAGTAAGAAGAGGCAAGATACTAGTAATGCCTCAAGAGACCTATTATGTTCGAATAGCTTTGATGATTTATTGAAGACTACTGGAAAGCAAGTAAGGTTAACAGAGAATAACCACGATTTGATCCAAGAAAAACAAGTCTCACCACCTGCTTTAAATAGCAAATTAAGTCCAGAAGCTCCTGTATTTGTGCCTAAATGTGTGCTTGCAAGGAAGAATGAGTCAAATGCCTTATTGTCAAATACAATTGATTTGGGTGAGTATTCTCTTGATGAAGATGGAGTGGATTTGGGTGAGGATTCTCTTGATGAAGATGAGGAAGATAATATGTTGGACATTTGCTTTGATAGAGTGGCTAGGGAAGGGGATATATCACCTAGGCAACAAAGAAGTGGAAGTAACAAAAGCAAAAAGAAGACATATGGAAGGCAACATAGTTGGGACGGTAAAATGACTGAGAAGTTTGTTCCAAGGCACCTACCGATGCGACAGGCAAAGCAAAACCATTTGACAGTATCAATAGGTTCAACTAGATCCAATAAATCAATAAAGAAGGTATGAATCATCAAGTGTTGTTGGACAGGTTTGAAGAAAACAAGAAAAAAAATATTTCAAGTTACTTTTGATGGACAATCAATCTTTTTTAATTCATACTTTAGTAATAGAAAGTGCTGGTAACTCAACTTTCTTCTTGATTGACATATTTTTACATTATTTAAGCATTCTCATTTGTAATATCATCATGGAGTGTATTACAAAACTCTGTGATGATTAAAAAAATATTTAGTTCTCTCTACCTCTTATTTTCTTCATGCTTGTTAGGTAGCAGAAGTTAGGTACTTCATTAGGATTAGTAAGGTAAGGCCTAGCCCTCCTTGCTTGTACTTATCCCTATTGATATTTTTTATGTTTAATAAAAGACCGCTAGACACTGTCTAGTGATAAATTTGCTCAAAAAAATATGAGATTATTACTCACTGTGTCTATTTTACTCGTTCATTATACTAAAAATAATTGCCCAATAATGCTTGTCCAATTTGAAAAACTAAAAGATAATTACTTTGTCCGAAAAATGAGGAAAAAATAGATGGTGTTCTAGGTTCTCTCTCTCTCTCTATATATATATATATATATATCAGAATTGATTGCAAAATCAATTGTATTTCATGAAATTTTATAACACATATATGTAAAAAGTAAAATATCATGCTCAAATAAATTTGTGACATACCGTATTAAAATATCTTCACTCGGAGGCACCAAAGTCGAAAGTTATTAAAGTTTATGTAGGCCCATTCTGATTTCTCAAGAAAATTGAATTGTAGTCATATTCGGCTCAAACAAATGAGAAGAAAAATATACTAAAAACAATAGCAAGTCATCATCAAAATATGTAAAAAGAAAATTAAAATGAATTGTTACATACATTTCTTGACTTCTTCTGCTTGCTCAGAGGTGTATCACGGACATTTTTATCACCATTGTTTTTGATAAAAATGATGGTCTAAAATATCACCCCAATGCTTGTGCAAATTTCATGAACTTGAAACTGGAGGAATTTATACATTCTCTAATACTCTTTAGTATTTACACAAAAACTATAAAGTTGGGGAAATTGAAAAGCCAAAGGTCTGATTATTAATTAGCATTATTTGGTAGTGCAGTACGTGGGATGAAGCAATTATTTAGGCTTTTTTAGAAACTGCTATTACGTGGGCTTTATTAGAAGTTGCTATTAGGTGGAGTTATCGTTAGCATTAATGTTAGTTATTGGCATTACAGCTAGTTATCATGTTAGGCATTGAAAATCTATTTAATTAATAAATTATGAATTAAAAATGCAAAAAAAAAAGAGAAAAAAAAATGATGGCCATAGAAAAGTGTCACTTCACCTTCTCTATATTCAGCTTTATATATAGAGAGATATATATAGATTATTTGATATTTATGCTGTCAAAGATTTTAGTTAAATATAAATTAAATAAAAAAGAGAGAGGAAAGATTAAAAATGACTGATATGGACTTCTTATGTTAGGGCTTACCTATTATCTTGGACTTTTTGGGCATTTTTCACTTTGAAATCATACTATAAAATACCCTTAGTTGTATGATTGAATTTTTTATTCATATTCATGCATGGGAAACAATATTATTTTCAAATTTATAGGTATTAAAATAGAGATAATATCTCATATGGTCACTCAACTATGAATTATTTGCTCAGAAAGTCACTCAACTTTGGTTATTAACTGAAAAGTCACCCAACTATGATTTTTTCCTCAGAAAGTCATTCAACTTTTTTTTCTTAGAAAGTCACTAAACTTTGATTTTTAACTCAAAAGTCACCTAACAATGATTGTTTTACTTACAAAATCACTCAACTATGAATGTTTTATTTACAAAGTCAATTAACCAATTTAATAAATATTAATGAAAAAATAAATTAAATTGATTTAATGACTTTGTAAGTAAAATATCATAGTTGAGTGACTTTGTAAGTAAAACACTCATAGTTAAGTGACTTTTGAGTTAAAAATCAAAGTTTAGTGACTTTCTGAGAAAAGAACTCATACTTAAGTTACTTTCTGAGGAAAAAACTCATAGTTGAGTGACTTTTGAGTTAAAAATCAAAGTTGAATGACTTTTTGAGAAAAGAACTCATAGTTGAGTGACCATCTGAGATATTATCTCTATTAAAATATAATTTTTTTAAAAAAAATGATCTTAAATTTCGAATATGAGAGTAAGTTTTAAATTAAAGGGATGTTACTAGAAAAGTTTTAAAATGTTGGTAGATTAACATTATTGTAAAACAAGTTTTTTATATTTTTATTTTTGGGGGTAAAATTAATTGAACATCTACAGTTGAGACACACATTTTAGGTGCATGCGGAAAATTGAATGCACTTCAGTCACGTGCATCTTAGGTACATTACTATTGTAAAATGAGCTGACAAGTTTTGCTGTTGTTTTGATCAATTTATGATGGAGATTTGTTCTTTATAATTTTGAAACTTATATTTCAAATCACAATCATTTGAAGTATATTTGTGCATTAAATCATGTGTTAAATTGTTAAAATTCAACAAAAATAAGTTTTTGTTTCTAGTCGAAAGAAATAATCAATTAACCAACATTTACACTTGTGACATACATGTCTTAAGTATATGAATAAAAATTGATTGTACTTAGTCATATATTGTGACTTTCCAACACCAGCCAAAATTTGTAAATTGATACACAAATTTTATTATTTCCATCATGTATGTCATAAGTTGTGTCTAAAGTTATATAAATTTATAAAAAAAATCAAGTATTTATGCTACATTTCCCTCAACAACTTGAATCGAATTATCAATTTACAATATCTTAGAATTGTAGAATGTAGACTCACAAAGTGGACTCTTATAACAAAGATGTGGGTTTTCATTAGTCATCAAGTGGTGGTATGCAAAAATTGAACTGATCATTAAATCGAACTGAAAAAAAAATATTATTAAGTTAACGGGTTTTTAATGATTTTATAAAAGAAATTAATTGGATCGATTTTTAGTATTGGGTAAACCGATAACCTTACCCAATAACCCATTAAGACGATAATAATTTACTATTATACTCTTCATAAATATTAAATATTAATAATTTAACATAACTAGACACTATATCAATACTATACACTACGGTCTACACACTTCACACGTCGCAGTACTTCTACTTCACATCAGAAATTTTATATTATGTTTTGGTTGTAACATGTAATTGTAGACTTCATACTACATCTACTCCCTATTTATTTGTCCATTTTTTACATGACACACCTATTAAGAAAATAATAAATGACATAGTAAATTTACCATTTTATCCATATTAATTGATAGAATTTCAAAATCAATTTACTTATTAAAGTGGTTCTAACTTTTTCAAAAACATTAACCCACTAAATAAATTGAGGTTATAATAGGTAATAAAAAAATATTATCTTTTTTTGATTTGTCAAAAATAATAAATAAAAAAGTACAAATAATAAGTCAAAATTGGACAAGTAAAAAGGGGATAGAGAGAGTACTGTGTTAGATGATGCTCATGAAAAAAGTAATTACTTCTCATCACAAAAGCCAACATTCAACAAAGACACAAGCTTGTCCTTTATTACAAGTAGAATAGAACTTACACCATGACCAAACAAACATTTCAAATCTTGAACAACAACACAAGAAAAGGCACAATGAAGTGCCTTTTTACAAGTAGAATAGAACTTACACTATGACCAAACAAACATTTCAAATCTTGAAACAACAACTCACGAAAAGGCACAATAGTGCCTTTTTTCAATACATTATGATATGCATATGTTTATTCAAGTCCAAGCTTTTCCCTAAGAATTTTTGCAAACTCAAGGATCTTATGTTGGTCAGGCAAAGTTTTAGCCACACTGTCCCTCTGCATGCACCTCTTGCCCCAAGCCACAAGCTTTGGGCACTCAGCCTCAATGTTGAAGTTACCATAAATCTCATAAGCATGAAACCAGCAGTAGAACCCAATCAGAGCAATATCCCCAAAACCAAAGTTATCTCCTCCATAATAAGGCTTCCTCCAACACTTTAAGGATTTCTATGAAATCTTTCTTCCCTGCCTCCTGTTCGTCTCCCGTTGCTGAATAAATCTTCTTTGCTGTATCAAACAACTGAAATTTCAACAAACACAGAAAAACAAAACGGTTAACACTTGTTGCCACAAAACATGAATTTATACCGAGACAATATTCTATATCTTCAACTAATGTGAAACTCTAAGACCCCCAGCCAGAGGCGGATCTAGGATTTAGAGTCACTGGGTGCCAAGCAGAGGCGGACTGATCACATGATTTGATAGGGGTGCACGTGCATCCGTTAACTTCAAAAAAAAATTCATGTGTATATATGTATATCTATCGTGAGAAACTGGCATAAAGTAGAATATAATCAATAGTGCACCCATAAAAAGCGTAGGGGTGCCCTTGTTTTGTTGGTACAAGCCAGAGAAATCACTCGCGAGAATACAGTTCAAATCTAGCTAGAGTCTTATTTCATTATTTTTATTTCAAGTGTAGCTTAGAAAATCATATTTGAGCCATTAGTTACCAACAAATACTACATTATTCGTTAATTGTAGTAAAAGTTTTGTTAACTACCTAAATTAAGATAGTATATATTGGTGCATCGAAATCTTCAAATTTTGGATTCGTCTCTAATGCCCAATAGACTCGATTAAATCAATTTTAGATTCAAATAGAATTATTTGTCTTGTGGCTGGATGGGAGAGCGGGATTGGGCGACGGACGGAAGGCTGAAGCTTTAATTAATGACATATTTTTGTAGTTCAATAGTTTAAAGGAAGAGCCAAGGTTTCAATGTTGAAGAGAATTTTTTTTTTCTTTATGTTTAATCAAATAAAAAAAAGTCAAAGAGTTAAATTAAATATGTTAAAAAATAATTATTGATTACAACTTAATAATAAGTTAACAAGTTAAAAAAAAAAAATCAAAAAACAAAAGGGAATGTGCCTTGTAGTTTAAAAAAGAAACGCTGCCGGCAGTTAAAACGAAAAATTAAAACAAAAAAGGGCTGCCCGCAGTTGAAAAAAATTAAAACAAAAAAAAACTGATAGCTGGGTTCGATCCCGCGAACCATGACCCATTAAGTAGATGGTCTACCACTGCGCCAAAGAATACTTTTGTTCTCTGGGTGGCACGTTTATTATTTATACAGACGTTGTATATAAATACTTATATATAAATAGAGTTTCCGTCGAAGCTTGTGGGTGGCGTGGCACCCCCACCGGCCTTAATAGATCCGCCTCTGCCCCCAGCCCCTGGGCCTATGACTTAGCATCTAGAGCATGGAAAGGGGGGATGGGGGATCTAGCTTGTGAAGTGATGATTAACTAAAACTATATAACGAGACAATGTGGGGCTCTAACACCCTCTTCACGTCAAGGCCCAAATGGAGCTTGGGACAAAAGTGTAAATAGGGATGGATCTGACTCTAATATCATATAAAGATATGATATATGAACCTAACTCAACCTCAAAAGTTAACTCATAAGGAGATGATTGCCCAAATTCATATAGTAGACCGACAGCTCATTCTCCAACCAATGTGTGACTCTAATCCACTTTTACATCCCTTCATTTCTGGGTTCAGCATGAGTTTAAATTAGAAGCACAAACAACAATGAATCTGACTCTGATATCACGTAAAGATATAAAACACATGTCTAACTCAATCAACTTCAAAAGTTAACTCACAAGGAGAGAATTATCTATGTCCATATATAAGTAAACAACTATTCTATTCCATATAAATACTAAAATGAAAAGGGGGAAAGCAGAGGCGTATCTAGAGGGGGTGCCGTGGGTTCAGTGAACCCATGCTTCCCTCTCTAGATCATATATAGTAGTGTTATATTTTTTTTAAAAATATTTAAATATAGATGTGTGAACCCATGTTCAAAGTATCATATAATAATACGATGATGATTAGGTGCACCCCTCTAACTGAGGATATAAATTTAAATCTTATATCTATCTTGTCTTTTTGAGTATAACACCACTCCAAGTGATTATCGGTGACACTTTTGACGTTTCAACTAATTTTTCTTTTGTATTTTTGCCTTTAATCTTTCAAAATTTTCAAGTGTCTTACATTGAAAATTCCTAAAAAATTAAGCACTGTAATTTTTTTATATAATTAAATCAATTGTGTATATTAAAATTTAAAACTAATAGTATTATATATTTTGAATCTATAGTTTTTAAAATTTAATGGTTCATATTTAGAACCTAAAAATCAAATGATCAAATTTATATTTAAGATACATTTCTTCGTATCATGCACCCATTTAATCGAAATCATGGATATGCCTCTGGGGGAATGGGCTATGAATTTACCTTCTTGTCAATGTAGTCACCCCAGAACCTAGCTTGTGCCCTCTCATAAGGGTCAGAAGGGAGCAAAGGGGATTTATCCTTCCAAACTTCGTCAATGTACTCAACTCCAATAAGAGACTCACAGATTGGTTTTCCATTATGAATCAAAACAGGGATTTTCTTGTGGATAGGATTCATTTGCAAAAGCAGAGGACTTTTATTCCTCAAATCTTCTTCTTTGTACTCATATTTAACCTCTTTTTCAGCAAGTGCAATCCTTACCCTCATACCTAACATGCTAGGCCAAAAATCCAACAGAATCACCTCATCATTAGCCTTTTTTTTTGTATGAATTAACAAATTAAGAAGAATTAAGAAAAAAAAATTCTCAAACTTGCCAAAGTATTGATTTGTTTGTTGTACATACATACAAGAAGTATATATAGTGGTGTAGATGCCTTAACTTTTTCGATTTTGTGGTGTTCCAAGTAGTCACGTGATCCATTGGTCTATAGCCTATAGGTCATTTTCGATTTTTTGGAGTTCCAAGTAGTTACGTGATCCATTGGTCTATAGCCTATAGGTCATTGCTTTCGTCACATGATGATATAATCATACAAGAAGTCACAAGTTACTTAAGATATCAAGTTACAATGTAGTATGTGGTGGATGTTATCTGGACTAATGGTGCAATAGCCAATATGTGTATCTTATTTTATTACTAGAAAAAAAAAATATCAAAGTCCCTTTCACAAGCTTTTAATTAAAACGGAAAAGTATTTGGGGTTCGAAATATATTCCAAAACAATATTGTCAAGCTAGACTTTTTATTTATTTTTATTTTATATTATAATTATATGATTTTCACACTGTCAAAGTTTTTTAGTCAAATATAAATTATATTTGAAAAAGAGAGAGAGGGGAAAGATTAAAGATGATTGAGAAGTATTTTGGATTTTATACATTACAGCTTATCTATTATCTTGTACTTTTGGGGCATTTTTCACTTTGGGATTTGTGAATGTTACCATAAAATACTCCAATTTGCATGATTGAATTTTTTTAACGGAAAAGGGTCAAAATTGCCCCTGAACTATATGAAATAGATCACTTATACCCTCCGTTACATTTGGGATCAAAAATACCTCCGCCGTTATCCCAAGAGACCACAAATACCCTTCAAAAGTTAACATTCTAAATTTTTAATGACGTGGCAAGCCACATGGACTGATTCCTCCACCTAAGCTACCAACTAGGATTTCCACTAACCCATCAATTCATCCTCCCAAAAATTAACCTCTATAAGTTCCATAGCTCAAGCAATGTATTCAAAGTTATGTATTCTGTTACTAATTCTACATTTTTATTTTATTTTTAAGCAACTTGGTAACGTGTGTGTTTTTATTCTTACTTGGTGTCAAGTTACATTTTAACACAATACACAAGCCATTAGAGCAATGGTAAAAACTAGAAAGTAGCAGACAGACTAATACAATTTATAGAGCAATTTAGAATATCTCTAAACAATCTAGAGATCCAATTTTCCTGCCAGGTACCAGGAATGCATTGCGAGGCAACCGAAGGAGAAGATGTTAGCAAGGGAAGATAGGCCATGAATCATCCCAAATTTCTTTTTCATTGCTGAAAGCTTTGGATTAACCTTTGCGACTTCTTGGTTCTTTGTCCATCCAACTTCTTCCCCGATGTTCGCCTCCCTCTCTATCTTATGCCTTTCCTTCATCATCTGAATTGTCATAGGAGTAAAGACAAAGAGATTGCTGAGGTTGAAAGCAAATGCAGCAAGAATGAACCCAAGTTGGTACTTCTCAGAAGCAGAGGCAGTCTTCCATGGATGCAAGTACCCAAAAGAACCCACAGACACAGCACAACATACCCCCACCATGGAAAAGTAAGCAGGAAACATTTTACTCTGCAGATTCCCAAACTGATGCCTTGGCAAATTCTTGAACATGATGATACCACCGATGAAAGTGACCCATAGAGCAGCACCAAAAGCAGTTGAAAAGCAGAGGAGATGAGCTAATTTCAGAAAAGTTGCGAGCTTTGGAGGATGTTGACCATCTGATTTTGAACCGAAAGTTTCTGGAGAAAAAAGTACTCCAATTGCCAAGAAAGCTACAGCAGATAAGAATCGTGTCATCCAACCCATGATTGTTGTTCTTTGATCGAAATTGTTTTTGCTATTTGATAAGACGAAGAAGAAAGTGGGTTTCTGGTCAGAAATGGATCTTGGCTTTGGTTTTACCTACGCCTACCACATTTCAATACCATGTGGCACGAAAAATGTTGAACATATTATTTATTTTGATAAACAACCAGTTACTAAGTGTGGAGTTTTATCCAAAGTTGTTGTAGGAAAGCTACCAGCTCATCCGCATAATCAAGAACCATTTGTCGAGCAAAACAATATTCAAAATAATTTCAGTACTCAGTTTAGTTATCTAAATTACTATCGATATAAAAAATTAACTTGATCTTGAAAGTTAAATCACTTCCTCAATTGAATTGATGGAGCCTCTGACATTGCTTCAATGATAAAGAAGATTCGATTTTTTTCTCTCAAAATTAGGTTTGATTTGGGAAGATGAATTGATTGGTCAGCAGGAATGAATTAGTGGGAATCCTAGTTGGTATCTTAGGTGGAGGAATTAGTCCCAAGTGGCTTGTCACGTCATTAAAAAATTGAAAGTTAACTTTGAGGGGTATTTGTGGTCTCTTGGGATAACGGCGGGGGTATTTTTGATCCCAAAATGTAACGGAGGGTATAAGTGATCTATTTCATATAGTTCAGGGGCAATTTTGACCCTTTTCCGTTTTTTTTAATTGATTCATGCATGAGAAACAATAGTATTTGAAAATTTATAGCTATTAAAATATATAATGTTTTTTAAAAATATAACCTTGAATTTCGAATATGAAAAGTAAGTTTTAAATTAAGAGGGTGTTATTGGAAAAACTTAAAAACGTTGGTAAATTACCATTGTTGTCAAATAGGTTTGTTATGTTTGTTTTAATTTTGATAAATTGATAATTACGATTTGTGATTGTTATTTTGATAAATTGATAATTACAATTTGTGATTGTTGTTAAATATGTTTCAAATTTAAGCTCATTTGAAGTATATTTACGCTTGAATATGTGATGGATTATTGAAATTTGAACAATAAATTTCTATCTTTTGGGGGGGAGGGGGATAAATGGGAAAATTACGCAGCTAAGCAAACTTATACTACTTAATTACTCATCATAGTTATAGTTTACTATAATTACCACTCGCGACTAACATTATACATTAATTACGTGGGTTGACTTCGAGTTTGTATAATTTGTCACGTTTGTATATGTATAATTCACCAGAATATTCAAATACATATATATTATATACAATTATCTAACCGATATACATTTACAATTCACCTCTCTCCCACTATCTGCCCTCTCTCGCTCGCCTCTCTCCTCCCTCCCCCAATCTCGCTTGCCTCTCTCCTCCCTCTCCCAATGTCGCTTGCCATATATACAAATACATATGTATAATATACAATTATCTAACCAATATACATATACAATTCACCTCTCTCCCACTCTCTGCCCTCTCTTGCTCGCCTCTCTCCTCCCTCTCACAATCTCGCTTGCCTCTCTCCTCCCTCTCCCAATGTCGCTTGCCAGATATACAAATACATATGTATAATATACAATTATCTAACCGATATACATATACAATTCACCTCTCTCCCACTCTCTGCCCTCTCTTGCTCGCCTCTCTCCTCCCTCTCACAATCTCGCTTGCCTCTCTCCTCCCTCTCCCAATCTCGCTTGCCATATATACAAATACATATAATGTGGTGGACGTTGTCAAGATTAATGGTGCAACATAAATCATGTGTTAAATTGTTGAATTTTGAAGAGAAAAAACAAATTTTTGCTTATGGCCAAAAGAAATAATCAATTAATCTACATTTACACTTATGACACACACATCTTAAGTGCATGCACATAATTGATTGCACTTCAGTCATATATCATGACTTTTTAACTCGAGACAAAATCTGTAATTTCATATGCAAATTTTATTATTTCAATCACATATATCATAAATTGTGTCCAAAGTGAATAAATTTATTCAAAATCAAGTATTTACACTTCCACCTCAATAACTTGAATCGAACTATCAATCTCGAAATTGTGAAATGTGGACTCACAAACTGATAATAAGATATATTAAATATGTCATTTATTCAATTTTCTGTTTCAAAATTGAAATCTTTATGATGGGCCGGAGACTATCCTCTTCTCTAAATGAAGTGGGCTTTTACTAGTCATCAAGTCCCTCTTCCTTTGTACTCCAAACATGTTGGCCCAAAAGTTCACTTGTGACTTTATTTGTGTTGGTCTTTAACTTATGTCTTCGTAATTTTTTTAAAAAAAAATCCATGGAACATAAGTATATATTTGTGTATTTAATATCCTCAAGTTGTCTTACATTTCGCAATTTGTAAAGAACTTTTGTTATACTAGGCATAAGTTCAGTTGTTAAGGAACATAAATCAAAAATCAACTCATTTTAAGAGCTATTTATGTAATTTTATGCCACATAATTATGGTGATACATAACATGTTATACTCATGTAACAACTAAATATTTTTGATCGAACAGCTAAGGTATAGCTTCCCTTTATTTAATTAATGCTCTCGTCCAATTATGTGAAGAAACTTTCACATCTTTTTATTTTTATTTTATAGAGGACATTAATAAATCAGAGATATTCTCTTGTTCTTTGTTCTTTTTTTATTAGCTTATGATCATAAAATAAATACAAGAGATTGCATTTCTTGACTATAGAATACGATAATTTCTTTACACTGTCAATATATATAAGTTATTCGCATAAATATCGCGTACAAAAGGTCCAATGCCCCAAACTTCACAACAACTTATTTATAAAACATCTGTAAAATTTAATTCACACAGCAATATTGTAAACAGCTTGCTAAAAATTTGGTAATGGGCTACTGCTCCATAAACTAATTCACAGGTTCTTCATGTTTGAGTGATGGGTCAGACACTTTAACCCATGTCCTGTAAAATACAAATCTTCAATAACGCATATAAGAATAAAAATGTATAGTGTCTGATTTTATTATTATTTTTAATCACTCGGTGTCCAGTATCAGCATTCAAGCGCAATTAAATTTGGATCACGCATTGCAGACCCATTTTTGGGTGTGATATTCCCAACATAGTTCTTCCCATTCTTAGGGTTTCAAACCTATCACCCCGAGCAGTGGTTAAGCCACATATAGCTCAAGTCGTCCAGTCGGACACCCTTCATCGAAAAATTATATTATGTATATAAAAAATATATGAATTAATATATATATTAAATCT